TACGCTTCGGCCGGGTCCGCAAAATCGCCCGTAAACGGGGACCAAATTTTCGCCTCGCGGGAAAGCCCGATTGGCATTGCTATAATATAATAAATAGTTGAAACAATAATATTACAACAACTTACAAGTAAACAAAGCAAGAAAAGTGAAAAGCATTCTCAAAACAGAGACCCAGACACTGAGTGAACACTGTGTAGTTCAAAGTTGACTCATCACTCAGCACCATCTACAATTAACATTACACTACATTTTCAGTGTTTTTACTAATCTTGACATTATCCACTGAACATCACTTTCAAATGTTACTGTTGTAGTGTAGATCTAGATCTTGTAACTACTCTGCCGTCTCTGCGTACACGGTACAGTACCTTAACACACTACGACTACTGGTTGAACCAGAACTGATTAAAAATGGGAAAGCCTTTTAAAACTGTTGGTCACATCTAGATCTAATCTAGATCTAGATGAGGAATATGACACAAAAAACGTTCTCTGGGACTTCATAGCGACTACTAGATCTAGCCCTAAAGCTAGATTCTAGTACGGCAGTGTAAAGTGATCATCAGAGACAGCAACGTTAGTCTCCGGCAGTGTCTGTTCTGTGTAGTACAGTGACTGTGTTGTGTACGGTACTGGAGTCAAACCAAAACATGTCAATGCATGTTTCACAATTCCATCTTCGTCAATTGAAAATTTACAGGCCATTCAATTACCTCGATCAGTCCACATTCTGTGATTTTAAGACAATATATATTGACAGAAAAGGAAGTATTGTGTTAGATTTTCCTTTGAAATGATAAAAAAGACATTTCGAAAAGAAAAATCCTTTTCAAGTTCAGCCGCTTCGGATAAAGTATTTGTTTACAAAGGTTACTTCCGGGGTTAGTGCGTGTCTCATGAGGTGTAATTGTTCTATTTGTTAAAAAGTTAAACTTGATAACTTTCCTCAATTTATATATTTTTACTGACATAAAATACGTTGATGTGGGTAAAAAAAACTGTATTGATAAATATGACAGCTGTAATAGAAAAAATAGAATTTCTTGAGAATACTCCCTTATCTATTTTTATCTCTGTCATGTGTTTTGAAGGCCAAAAGTCATGTGACCAACATTTCCTCTGAAGTGAAGTGGAAAACTTTGATTGCGCTCTATCGGCGCCGTAACTGATAACAACATAATTAATAGTGCTGCTCAAGAGCAATTGAACTTTTTGTTTTCGTGCGTATCTGTCTCAATTGCCGGCCAATTGCGTTCCGTCATGAGAAGCTGTTTTGCAAACGACAGTGCTTTCTCGCAGTCATTGAAAGCTATTTAGGACGCCTCTCGACTACATATCGGCAGTTGTGTGTGTGTTGATTGAAGACACAACTTTCTTCACTGCCACGCCCACATTATATATTTACTTTTCTGTCTGTTCTCTTCTATTGTATTTCCGCTTTTCAAAATGCGGCTTCTCATCAGTTTTATTTTGATTTACCAACTGGTATCTATAGTGGATTGTGGCAGTGGTATGCTCTATCCCAGGGACTCTGAAAGCCGTCAAACGAAGTTCCTCGATGGGTTGTGGCTGTTCAGGGTAGACTCGTCACCAGCAAGGAATGAAAGTTTTGTCCAGCGATGGTGGGAAAAGTCACTTGCAGAGGTGAGCAAAGGGGTTTTGGTTGTTGTTGTTGTTTTTTTGTTTTATGTTTATTATTGTTTGTTTATAAGATTTTCAGATGCTTTTGCTGGAGAAGTATTGTAATTACCTTCAAATTATGTCCATGTATAAATGGATGTGTTTTAGACACCTTACATAGTTATTTTTCTAAAAGCAGCGCTATTCGGACTCAAGACTCAATAGCCTCCCATGGCTATTCGGAATCAAACTCCAATGCATGTACAGGATGTGAAGCGGACGGGCAATTCGGTACCTGCTTAATTATGGCCTTCCTCGGTTTCTATGATCTTACCAAAATTTTCTACACAAATAAAGAAAAAAGTATTAGTGGCGGGTGACGTCAAAAGTGAATAACAGTTGTAAAATCTGAAATACCACACCACAAAGTCAAAGGGCAAATGCATGGAAATGGCAATCCAATCTGAGCTCAAAGCAATAATAAAAATGGAAAATAAAAGTTTCAGAACAACAACCAAGGTGTATCAATCTAACCCTGCTTTATTTGACGAGAAAGACAAATTCATTGATTACTTGGAATTCCAGTTAGAAATTGAGAAGAGAAAAGTTAAAACCGTTTCATAGGGAGCAAAACTCAGTCATTCAAAATAACGCGCTTTGGAGTTTTTGTGTCCGAATAGCCACAGCAGGGTTATTCAGAGACTTGAATCCGAATAGCCTCTTCGTTTTTGAAATGACTTAACCTCACTGAAGAAAAGAAAAGGGTAATGCATGGAAGGAAAATGGGGAAAAGGAAGACCAAGGAGTAGGCCTAGAAGATGGCCTCAGGATATCTGTGACTGGATCAGAACATGTATTATCCTAGCTTCTGCGTTTGTTGCCATTTTTTTTGGCCAAAAGTTGCCACAAAAATGGCAAAAGTTGCCATAAAAGTTGCCATTAATGTTCAAGCTTTCTACTCTCTGTGACGACGTATATATATATAGCAATATAATGATGATAGAGGTAACTTAATCTAAAGCATCCAGAATATCATTTGTAGCCACATAGAGTGTAAAAACATAAAAAGTAAAGATTTCCCAACAGAATGAAATGAAAATTAGAACAGCACATAAACAACCACAAAAATTACCAAATAAGAGCGTGTGTCCACCTTTCCGAAGATTGATCTTTTTAAGTTTAACCCTAAACGTGTGTAATTCAAGATAAAGTACAGGATATTACATGTAAATTATGGAATCACACACAAGGAGCCTGCCAGTGTCAGTATTCGGTTTTGATGGAGACACGCTCTAACATAGCTCAGTTATATTTTTAAAATTGTAGGAACAACATCAAATTAAATGACATTACGTTATAATAAAAACACACCAAAAAATAGAAAAACAACACATAAGGACAATAACGGAAAAAAATTAACACACCAACAAATTAAAACCCAACAAAGAGGGAAAAAATAAAAGACAAACTGTAATATAAATATAGTATCTACATTCTTCGCATGAAAATAACTATACACGAACACCTTCAAATTATCAAAATACATCTCTAATGTTATGAAGTAGCTTTTTTGTTGAAAAATGCCAAAAATCACGGCCGCGACAAACGAAGATGCTAGATTTATCGCTTCAGGGAGAGGCAGAAAATGGGGCAAAAAAAATTTTATAAATTCAATAGCACATCTGACATTGTGCAAAGGCTTATGACGAGGATCATTGCTTTCAATTCCTTTCAATAAGTATATTGAGTTGAAAAGATGGAACCTTATCTTTAGGTTTCATTGTGAATTAAGCTTTACTCCCTGTTGTAAATGATAGACTGCTGTGAATGGACTGGCTTGAACAGCAGTGTCGGAAAAAGTAGGCCTACTGAAATGCTGACACCTGTATCTAGTAACCTGTCACGACATTCCAAAAATAGAATAATGCATTAAAAAATTATATTCATGATCAAATTACTTTGGCTAAATCATGGCATTTTAAATTACCTCTGAGTCTGTTTTATAGACCCTTTTCTTTGTCATACTCTCTATAAATAAGACTTTAGTAGAAATTGGTAGTTTTATTATATGATGGCATGGACCTCCCACATTTGTGTTGTTTTTAGTCTATGGCAAAGCTAAATTTGTATACTTGATGCCCACATTCCTAATACAATGCAAAATCATACGAGCTAGGTGTGTTCTTTTTGCCTTTGCTCTGATAATGTTTCTTTCACATTCATATAGTTCTGTCATTCTATTTCCAGTCTGGTCCAGTGATTGACATGCCTGTCCCTTCCAGCTACAATGACGTGACACAAGACAAAAGTCTCAGAGACTTTGTTGGATGGGCTTGGTATGAGCGTTCCTTTTATGTGTCCCAAGACTGGACCAAGCAAAGAATTGTGCTACGTTTTGACAGCGCTCATTACTACTCTAAAGTGGTAAGAATAGATTTTCATATATGTCCCATGGTTGACACCCTTTGTTATGAATAAGGACATCCATACTTCTGGCATTTCTGTCTTTGCTTTTGTCAATACTCTTTCTGAGTGCAGTTACAATGAGGGTGGATCAAAAAGTAATGGAAGTTGTGAAAGACTTCAACAACTTTGAATGCTCAGACTTGAAATTTTCTGTCTTTCAAGTCTCTCTGACTTTGTATTCAGAATTTTTAAGGCATGATGCATCGCTTCATACATCTTTGACAGGCATCAGGTGCAGAATCTAATGTTTAGGCCTTTCAATATTTCGAACAGAAAACATGAGTTCAGTTCTCTCATGTGGAAGTTTTCTTTATCTCTTATTGTTTGTTTTCTGGGACATTCCTCAGCCAGCATAAACCCTGACTGGTAGGGTTGAAGTTGGCCGCCTCTTAAAAGATTTAGTGGCTAAGTGAGTAGTGTGTTTAGATTCAAGAGTAAAGTCAAGCAAGTGTCGGTGACACAGGGATCGGGTGGGTGGCCACTGGGGTGTGTCCTTGAGTAGGACACAACAACCCTAGCTAAAAAATCAGGACACTGCACAGTGGCAACCAGAAATGGCATGCATGGTTGTGAAATTGTTTTGTATTTGTGTAATTGTGTATTTATTTATGTATGTGTATGTATTTATGTTGATTACTTGATTACTTGATTACTTGATCCTGGGAACAACATCATAGCATTCCGGGCATTGCCATACGTGCTCTGCTCCCCGCTCCAATATCCACCTCAGAGTATCCATCTTCTGATCGTTCTGGTGTTTATTTGGTTAATAAGCAGTCTTTCCATCCATGTATTCCTTTATAATTATGTATGTGTGCGTGCGTGCATTTGTGTGTGTGTGTGTGTGCCATTGTAAACCAAATTGCTCTTCTGGGATCAATAAAAATGTAATTTATTTATTATTTTATTTTATTAGATTGCATCTAAAATTTCATTTTAAAGACATTTGTATTTTTCCCCCTGTCTCTCTCGCCAGTGGCTGAATGGCAAGCCCTTGATGGAGCATAATGGAGGCCATCTTCCCTTTGAGAGTGAAGTGAACTCTTTTCTCATCCCTGGAGGAAGTAATCGGATAACTCTTGCCCTAAACAATACTCTTACCCCAACGACATTACCACCTGGCACAATCAAATATGAGACTGACCACACACAGTGAGTGCTCTGAGTCGTATTTCCTTTTATTTTGTGGGAAAAGTTAAGTTCAAACCCCTCATGTCTTCGTGCTTCACAAAGATAATTCTGTAAGACATAGCACCAAATGCACTGTGCGACCCCTTTGGTGACCCTAGATCTGGGCATTTTGTCAAGTACCTTCAAAATGGGGATGAGAGTGAAACTTTACTTTTACCTGTTTTATATTTTTGCAGTACTGTAAGAATCCACTTTAATTACTTTTTCAGACCGCTTTTTCATAGTATTTTATTGTTTTTGCCCAATGGGGTGCACTGTTCTAAGATTGCTCCCATTTATTTTTAAAGCAATATTTTTTCTCTTGCACTTCTAGCTGAGGTGGAAGAAAACAAAAATCCTCATAGTGAGCAGTTTTAGATTCTTGTTTAGTGATTACTTAAAATGCTCCGTCTCTGTACTTCTTTCACCCTGGTATTGAGTATAGGTCATACTAGGCTGCACCAAGGATATGCCTGTTATCTGTATGAGGCATGTATTGGGCCTCATGTCAGTGGAAAACAGACACAAAGTGGCTCAGTTCAGGGCATAATGAGGATGACGGCTGATAAGCAACACCCACTTCACGAAGCCATTGGAGCAATCAAGGGATATCGCCTAAAACGAGGAGCTTCTTGGATGGCGGAGGCTGAAAACACCATCAAGGAAGTCTGCCCACTGGAAGATATAAAGCGGGGGGAGGAATGGATAAAGATGAATGAGAGACGGCAGGGAGATTTTGGGAAGGTAGTGATTACGCTGAACAGAGAATGTAGAGAATAGCCGCAGGGGGCGACAGATGCCGAGATACGACAACTGATTGAAGAAAACTCACGGCACGGAAACGTGGTTGTATACACGGATGGATCTGTTAAACGAGGGGAAAATCTCCATGGGGCTTCTCATCAAGAGTGAGTGGCAGACTGGTGCAGGAACAGCAGAGAGCATACGATATGACAACATCTAGCATGAGAATGGAGATAAAGGCAATCACTCAGGCTCTCAAATGGGTCACAACAACTCAACAAGCACATGTGATCTTTGTCACAGACTCTCAGAGCACTCTGAGGAAGATTGAGAATGGGAACCTTAGAGCTGAATGGACCGAGCTCCTGAAGAAGAAAACACTGAAAAAGATCACTTTGATCTTCTCCCAGAGCCATGCTGGAGTCAAGGGCAATGAGCGGGCTGATGAGCTCACTGGGAAAGCAAGACCTGAAGGGAAGCAGTGCCCTGATAAACCTGAAATTGTACGATCAGTCAGGGAAAAACGAGAAAAAGAACAAGAAGAGTCGGAATACCATCATCTTGAGCGACTTCATGAGCTTGGATTTGGATGGGGTGCCTGCAGAAGTTCAAGACTTAGTGGGAGGAGCAGAAGGCTATGGAATCAACCATTGCTTGGAACCGTCAGCATCTACACGCTTCGAGATGTGGTTCTCCAGGGGACGGAGCGCTTATGGGGATGCCCCTTGTACAGTGATGCCGGTCCTCCACTCAAGTAAACAAGTATTGAGTATAGGTCATCAAAAAGGGCACTCCAACTGTCTTTTTTTTCAGGTCGATCCTCTCTACCTCCAGCCAGCTATGCCGTATCTGTCTGAGGTCCACCTCCAGATATCGTTCCCAGATGGATCTTGGACTTTCTCTCTTTCTCCCCCCTTGATGATTTCATCTTTGATCTCTCTCTCTTTTGGCTTGTTCTTTCCCGTAGTTGAGCTTTTGTGACTCAATCGTACCACTTGATCTCCACTATCCTTCTTAGACATCCATTTATAAAGCTTCGCAGTTTCCTTGCTGCTTTCATCTTAGATAGCAGCAAATAATTTAAATAATTTCTACTCCTAAAACAGATATCCTCCTGGATACTTTGTCCAAAACTTGCAGATGGATTTCTTTAACTACGCAGGCATCCACCGGCATGTTCGCCTCTACACCACGCCAAGCAATTACATTGATGATATCACCATTCTGTCCGATATCTCAGGCAGTCAAGGTATGTCCATTAAACTCCTACCTTTTTAACCATCTTGTAAAATAAGTGTATGTGGGTGCTTGGTGGGCGCTCTGGTGTGGTTTGCTCCATCTTTCCTATCAAATATCCTTTTTCCTTATCTTTCCTCTTTTTCTTTGTATGTTACCTGTTACTCTCTAGTAATACCTCTAGTCTTCGGTTCTTATATGACCAAATTGTGTTGCAAGTACTGTAAAACTCATACTGAGACTTAAACTAAACTAAAATAAGTATATTATTTCTATGACCATAAAATTATTTACCATCAGAATACCGTTGGATTATGATCAGATTATTGATTATGTGTCAGCTTAAACGTTTTAATGTTAACAATAATGAATTCTTCATTTACATCGTATAATGCGTGGGGTAATGAATCTGTTTGTGAGTGCAAGCATATATTTGTAATGTGTGTATGTGTCTATGTGTGAGGAAGAGAGGATGTGTCAAGAAAGAGTATAAATTATGAATGAATGGGCTCATGTACTTGTTTGTGTGTGTTTGTGAGAGCATGTGCATGTGTGTGTCTGGGAGTTGTGTGTGTTTGTGTGAGTGAGTGAGTGAGTGGTGTGAGACCCCAAACCAATATGCCAGCGTCAAGTGAATAAAGATTTATCTTTCTATTTTATGTGCTTTTTTCTTTCATCTGCCTACTTTCCTTCTTTTGCCTCTTGATCACAAGAATTCCTAACTTTATCCGAATCAAGAGAAGAAATTTTAGAAAACCATTTTTGAAATTTTTGGAAGTCATTTTCTTTCTTATTTTAAGTATATTTAATCTAGATTTTCACACAGCGTCTTTTTAAACGTTTATGAAAACAATATGGGTAAAAGAGCAGTAGTCATAGCTATTAATTTCTGTGCGTATTTGTCCAGCCATTAATCAACTACTAATAACAATAATAAATTACATTTTCATATATCACATTTCCACTTGGAAAGTGCTCAGTGCACTTTACAACAGTACAAAGAACATAGTTCCAAAAGGAATCCTGTCACCCCCCCCCCCCCTTTCTCTCTCTCTCTCTCTCTCTCTCCCTCTCTCTCTCTCTCTCTCTCTTTCTCCCGCTCTCTCTCTCTTTTTCTCTCTCTCTATCTCCCTCTCCCCCTCCCCTCTCTCTCTCCCCTTCCCCTCCCTCTCCCCCTCTCTCTCTCTCTCTCCCTCTCCCTCTCCCTCTCCTTCTCCCTCTCTTTCATCAAGCCGTTTGTTTATATTCTTGTTCTTGCAGCCAATGTCAGCTACCAAGTCGCAGTAGCCGGCACCAGTGCGCCCACCTCTGCAAATGTCTCTGTCTCTGTGCTGGACAATCGTGGTCAAGTGGTTGCAAAAGGTGTCGGTCTCTCTGGGGTCCTATCTCTGAACAACCCCACACTCTGGTGGCCGTTTGGTATGAATGATTCTGTGGGATACAGGTATCTTCTGGAGGTATGTATAGTTACGGAAGTTGAATGTAGCCTACATTAAATGTTTTTCCAAAGTAATAATAGTAATAGTAATATTAAATAATAAATGACATTTATATAGCGCTCAACCCCGATTAAAGTACACAGGCTCTTTACAATACAATACAGTGTACAACAGTAACTAAAATGTTGTGTTCTGACCAAAAGACAATCACTCCAAATATTCATCTTATTACTTATTCTCGAAATTTAAAAACAGAAATGACTTCAGCTGACATTCGAATGAATCAAAAGTTCTGATCTCTGTTAAAGTACTTTTTGTTGATTTTAGATTTTGTTGCAAATGTTTCTCACCCCTTTTTAAGTCCATTTTCCATTTGACATGAATGATTCCGTGGGATACAGGTATCTTCTGGAGGTAGATCTATGTGGTCATGAAAGTAACCTGCTTTTTATTGAGTTTTCTCTAATCAAGGAAAAAATGTCTCAAGTACTTGTGTTATGATTGTGAATTTTTTTTTGTTTTTGCTTTGTTTTGTTTTTTTGCTTTGTTTTGTTTTTGTTTTGAATGCTTTGAACGATTCTGTGGGGAGAGGTATCTGCTGGAGGTGTGGGTGCACCGAAGTTATCTCTTCAGTCAAACTTTCTTTTTTTTTTTTTTTTTAAATTAAAAAAAATAATGTTATGCTTCCCCGTGGACATACAGTGGAGTTGGCAATCCGAAAACAATGGTAAAATGGTGGCGTCGGTGGCCTAGTGGTTAGGCTCTCGGACTCGCAACCGTAAGGTCGTGGGTTCGAATCCCGTCAGGGACCCAACGTTGTGTACTTGGGAAAGGCACTTTACACGAATTTTCCTCACTTCACCCAGGTGGGAATGGGTACCCGGCTACAGACAGCGAAAGATCTTGTCAGTTTGTTAGTGTTTGAGCGCTTAATCGGCTGCTTGCACTGTATGCTTCCCGGGAAGCTGAGAATGTTTCGGAGTGTTCTATGGTCTGCTGGGGTAATAATATAGTGTAATGCGCATAGAGCCTGCTGTTGAGCGGGGATATGCGCTATAAAAATGCTATCTATTATTATTATTATTAAATCGAAAGAAAATAAAAGCATTTGTAATCTGCAGCGTGCATTGTATGCTTCCTAGAAAGCTGAGAATGTTTCTAAGTGTTTTAAAGTCTGCTGGGGTAATAATAGGTGTAAAGCACATACAGCATGCTGTAGGGTGTGGACTTGCTCTATATATATAGGCCTATTCAATTAATAGGGGGGAAGGGCTGTCATTGTCTGGAGCTTATGGTGTTCGCTTTTTTTTCAATAGGTCGCAGGTTCAAAACCTGACAGGAATGGAAAATGTTCTTCTCTAAAAATTAACCATTCCAGCCCCAGCCATTTTTGTGCACTCCCTAACCCCAGTCCCAGTCAATACAGCAGTATTTCAGAAACACGCTTTCTAAAAAGTGATGTACTACTTTTGTAATGAGTTTTAGATAATAACATGTAACAATGTTTAAAAGTAAATGAACAAATATTATGAAAATTAAAGTTTAATTATATTCGCTAAGATTTTTTAATGTGCGATTTCGGTGCCCCCAGAACTGAGAATATACGCTCTTGGGACAGTTGGAGGTACTAGCGCTGCTGAAAATATACATGCATGGGGCTGGAAGCGTTATATTTTTACTTTCACCTCCTTTCCTGCTCTCTAATCATGTTCTGTCATCTGCTTTCATCTCTTCTTTCTGCCCCCTCCCCTCTCCCCTTTACCTCCTCCTCAGAGCTCTTGACTCTTTCTGCAGCCTTTCTACTGCTACTCCTCGGCTCCTTCTTACTGCTGTCTTTCAGCCATACCCCTGATCTTAGTGATCCTAAATTTGATAACAGTAGGTTTCAGCTACTACAAAGGCAAAATTCATAATTCCTACCAACCTGAAAATGTTTGAATTAATGTGTCCGGCGCGCTCATATGACCTTATGCAGTTGCAAGCACCATAAATCACTTACCCAAGCAAAAACAAAAATACTATCATTATTATTATTATTGTATATTTTATTTATGCAGGTATTTCCCCCACCCCGAAATATTAGCTAACATCAACTCTGACGTTTTGTACCCAACACCATTGACATATTGTCTTGCATTTTTCTTTATGATGAAAGGTGAGAGCCAATGGTGATGTCTACCGCCAGCCATTTGGTATTCGCACTGTCAAGGTCACAGAGAATCAGTTCTTGATCAATGGGAAGCCTTTCTACTGCCATGGAGTTGCCAAGCACGAAGACTCTGATGTAAGATTTTTCTCTTATTTGTGAATTTGCTCAAGGATATTTAAGGATATTATATACTTTGCAGTTTTCATTATGTTTTACTTTTGGGGGGGGTTTTCCTACTTCTTTTAAGGTTTTATTGTTTTGTTGGATTTTTTAAATTTTTTTTTTAATTTATCGTTACTGT